TGCAATTGCCCGGTGCAGCGAACGATGGTGCAGTTGCACCTCTTGGCGGTGCAACCAGGTGCTGCCAAGGCCAGATTTTGCCAAGAAATTACCCCATTAGGCTTAATACCGCCGATCTGGTAACCAATAAGGCCGTAATTTACATAAATTACATATATAAGTCACGGGATAAGCCGAATTAGGCAATGTTTGCATTGTTTATAGTGCAGCTGCACTACAGCCAAAGTACCGCTGCACCGAACCTTGCCCTTGGTGCAGTCGGCCCCACGTACCACTGCACCGAACTAAGGCCTTGGTGCAGCCGTTGCACCAGTACCGTTGCACCGGTACCGCTGCACTTGTCAAGGCCTATGCCGGCCAGTGGAGGGAGCCATTGTATCTTAGGTAGTTAAAGAAGAAGAATTAGAATTATAAAGGTATACTATTTCCAGGTGTATGGCCTATCAACCGGGTAAGATACTATAGCTTAGAGGAGAACACAATGTATTGTCTGGAGTGCCAAGACTAATTCTTGCCAGTCTCTTTTTAGGACCCTAGGGGATCCCAGACTATAAGGGAGCTATCTCTTCCAATGTCGACATGCATATCATGTGATGAACCCCTCTCGGATCGGCCACGACGTGGGGTCGATCTGCCAAGACTGCCTGACATGGTATTCTCTTTGTAAGGATCTTTATCCGTTACAATGACCGCCTAGCGTATTTACCACCCCACAATAAGACCGACTACACGTTAGGAAGAGTCGGGAAGCACAATATCGTTATTACAGTCTTGCCTATGGGAGAGTATGGCATAAGCTCGGCGGCTCGGGTAGCAGAAGACATGATATATAGCTTTCCGAATATCCGTATCGGTCTTATGGTCGGCATCGGTGGCGGCGCGCTAAGCCAGAAGCATGATATTCGTCTTAGAGATGTTGTGGTTAGCATCCCTCGCAATGGCCAGGGCGGTGTCCTTTAGTATGATTTTGGCAAGACGATCCAGGGCCAGGCCTTCCAGCCTACGGGATTTTTAGATCAACCACCTACCGTCCTACGTGCAGTAGTAAATGGACTGGAAGCCCGGTATGAGAGTGAGGGAAACCAACTCGATGACACATTCCATAAGATCCTCGAGAAGAAGAAACGACTACAAAAGAAGTATCAGCACCCAGGTCTAGCTAGTGGTCGGCTACAGTACGTCCCGAAACTGGTGCAACCGCCTACACTCTTCAAGTGATTCCCTAGCCCCGCCGCCGAGATACACTAGACCATGAAAGGGATAACCCCGGAATATCAATATGCCTGTAGCAGTCTCAATAGCACAATTTACTTTGATTAAAATACGGTGTCTTGTCTCGTAACTGTGTTGGCGATCTAAGGACTTGGGTCGAAGCGTGCTTTGCTTCCTGATCGTCATGTGGATATAGGGATCCTGGTAGGTTGATTTGGGGCTGTGCTGCTTGTAATCCTGGAGGTACCTGCTTCCTCAGTCTCCGTATTTGGTAAGTGGTTTATCCTTATAGCATCATTTGTTTGCGTTGAATACATAATTCTTGCTTCCAACTCGGAATATCAAGTAGGCTTCGAGTAGATCTGATCTGCACGTAGTCAGATCTCTATCTCTCTTTGTCTTCACGGAGCATATAAACGGCAATGTATATATGAAATAAAATCATCATCTGAATCGTTATATGAGCCTATAAATTGCTGGTAATATATGAATTCCGACACTCTATATGAATATAAAAATACTTATGAAAACCACCTAGAACTGCATAAATTATGTGTCTTTACTGTTTAACAGGGTTTAATAGGGTTTAGTAAGGTTTAATTGGGGCTCATTCTTCTGTTTTGACGTTTTAAGCATCTACATCTCTTTATTATCTTTCATGCCCCTATCATCATCTCGCTGGTCTGAGATGTCTTCTATCAGTGTGTCGACGATGTGTTGGTATACAGGCTTCGAGGTGGCGGTGAGACAGTATCCAATGAGACGCATCTTTAGTCGCCCGTAGCTGAGCGGCACAGCGGAGCGCCAAGCATGCGGCATCTTACCGGTTGGTCCATTTCCAGTTCTTTCCCGTGGACTCATAAAGCAGCTTCACCATGTGTGCGTATTTCCAAATGTGATCGATCTCTCATAACATTCATCGGCCCAAGGAATGATAGTAGTTAGGTGAGGTTTCTCGGGACGGGCTATTTCGACCTCGTCCGATCTGACCTGGCTTGGCGGCAGTGCATCAGACAGCCATCAAATCATAGTGCCACGGTCGATCCCTAAGCCTCTGGGTATGCAGGCTACAATCTCGTACGGGCCAACAAGGCTCAATAGGAACTGAAACATTCCGGTGCATTGGTCACCGCAAGGCTAACCACTCCCGATGTATTAAATGAGGCGGATACTGTCCTGAAGCTCTAACTCCCCCAAAGTGGCCTGCAGCAGTAAACCAGGCGAGTTAACTGTATACCTCTTATTTCCCTAAATCACAGTTACCTGCGCAGTCTTCCGAAATAGACCACAAATGTACCGTGCCCGGGCCATAGAGTTAGGGCTAACGCCTCCAGCTCGACGACAGTCGAATTACTGGAGGTAGGATTACTGGAGGTCTGCTCTAGCCTTGTCGTCTCTATGGTAAGAAACAGTGCTAGTCATTGTTTAGCTCCCTTGCGCACGTTTACAGGCGAGGCTGTCAACGAGGCGCGGGCCCATGCATGAGCTCGTATTCAAAGCCACTACTAGCGTTCCCAGGATTGAGAGCTAGCGTTCAATACCAACAAATAGGAACCAAGGCAACTTGAACTGTTGTTGGCAGGCTTGAGTCTAAAAAAGGGTTGGAGGGGGGAGCCCTAGGCCAAAAAAAAAAAAGAAAAACTCCCAACAGAGTTGTTTCTTCCTTCCTTCGCCAAACGTCTTCTCGTCCCCTTTTGCGACAGAGCCTAGGCCGGCCATGTCGACTACCGCTGCGAATATCTTCATCGGCGTTTGGCAAAACCACAACGACGAAACATGGCCAACATGGACACTCACCCTTAAACAACGCGACGGCGGTATTCTCTCCGCCGCCCTTGTTCTCTTTGTCGGCTTTGCAGCAACGCAGGCATGGAACATTGTCAAATTGATCCTCCACCAGGTACTCTTGCGTTCCAGGCGAGACGGACTTGACCAGCAACTGCAGGCGATGCTCCGCAACAGCAGTACCCATGCTGAAGCAGCCTGGTTTTCTATTCGGATTCCCCTTGGTTGGAGACGACAGCGGGGGTTGATCCATGGCCTGGCGAGGTCTTCCCCTATACTTATCGTCTCGCTTGTTCTTATTGCATCGTGGGCGGCAGCACAGATCTTATTGTCAAGAATTTGGACTGGTGCGGGCGATGAGTTCTTGGTCAATAGCGAGATCTGCCGCTGGGTCAACATTACGGATATACATAGTATGCCTAACTTCCAAACTTTTTCGATTTATTACAAACAAAGGATCGAGTCAGCCTCGGTCTATGTTGATCTCTGCTATGAAGCAGCTTCAGGCCAGACTATCCAGAACGCCTTCTGCCAGAGCCTGCCCCGTGCGGCCGTCAACTGGACAATGAGCGATGCCCCCTGTCCTTTTGCCGACCCCAGCCTCTGTATCAGCACAAACTCAACGCCGGTGATGCTTGATACGGGCTATCTCAGTTCAAGCGTTCATTTTGGCATCCATACGAGACAAGAAGACAGCATCCTGTACCGCAGGGTGGCCAACTGCTCTCCAGTCACCACCGCGTATCAAGATTCGCCCGAAAAGGATGTAATCGACAACTACTATGGGCCAAATGGGACCCCAGACCCATCTGACGGCAAGCCAGTCGGGCTCACGTTCACATATCGTGACCGGGTTACAACCGTAGAAGACGCTATCATGTCGACCTACAATTTGGTGTGAGTAACACCCTCCAAAATGAAATATGCGCCTTAGACTAAACAAGAGCAGCGCAATTTCTAGGTTGTGGCAATACAACGCAACGTTCACCGACCGACAGGATGTCAAACCCGTTATAATGTTCATTACGAACCCTAATGCATACACAAAGCCAAATTATGACCCCATTTTTCGCACGGGAGGGAGCGTTAATACTTCGCGATTTGGAGCGTTGTATAACGCGTCTACCGCCCTATCCATTCTCGGATGCCTTGAGCAATACGAAATCTGCAATCCTGCTAACACCGGAGACCCCATCTGCATGGTGTACAAGCACTCCACAGACGCCGGCTACGATCTCTCCGCCGTTGTCAAGCCTCTACGCCTGTCTGAGAAGCAATTGGCAACATTCATACGGTTGGACGCCATCCATACCGGGACCGACCTGGCGGGCACTGCTTCTACCAGCTTGTTCCTGGCGTCTCGGACCATAATTAACGGGATTCAGTTGGCCGAGCTCTCGAGCACACAGTGGCGCCTGGAGCTCTCCAGGTGGTTCTCCGAGGGGCTGGCCATGATCCAGCAGGGCTTTGTGGATTCCGCAACTGTACCGGACAATAATGGCCTGTATTTCCCTCAGTTATCCGGCACCGCGGCTAGTTGCAAGCACCAGATCGTCCGGAACGTTACCGGCCTCCAGAACTTCAATATGCTGGCTATCGTTATCGTCTTGGTGCTGGGTAGCATCATAATCGTGCTTGGGCTGACTATAGACAGCATTGTCCGCTACGTTCAACGGCGTTTCCCCGGGACTTCGGAAGGGTGGGTGCATTGGACTCTGGACGGGGTATTCCAGCTGCAGCGCCTGGCGTACCGCGGAGCTGGCGTCCGATCGTGGCGCGATGAAGATACATATATCCCAATTGTAGACGGCAGGACTCTTCCGGGTGTTGATCCGCAGACCATGGCGTTTGCAGAGTGTGGCAGCGAGGAGGAGCTGAGATTAATGCATAACCAAGAAGCCAAAAACACTGTGGAGGCAAATAGGCCGTGATATCTATTTACTATCCAGTTATCCCCCGTTATGAGGTGTGTCGGCAAAAAGGGCATTGCTTATTTCTGTTTCCTGAATTTATACGCTGTATCTGGCGAGACATAAGGTTAAGAATTCGGGATTGGCGGGCCATTATACATATTTTTGCGTTGATGCAACTGCGAGGTGGGCGTTTCAGATGGGCTTGCTGGTCACGGTCCTGGAGAACTGCAGAGTGCCCTTGCATTCGAGTCGTTCCGGGCGCTGTTGTATATCTTAATTGAGGCGTCGATTCGCGGTCTGGGTAACCAGGGGTGGGGGCATACGATGGAGCCCGTTCCCATAGTTCGGGAGTTCAGTTCGGTAAACATCATCGTCGTTGAAAAAAGTGTAGTTAAATCATCTCCCCCAAGGCAGAAGATGCCACTGAGGAGTCTTTAACATGGTTGTGTTAGCTTCCACCAAGTGTGCTACAGAGCATCAAGTAGAGAGAGCAATGGCTGACAGGCTGAGTATTATGACAAACAGGTTCATAAGTAGTCTGCCGGTACAGTAGGCAAGTAACGCAAGTCACTATTTGCAAGGTCGGTGCCGAGTATCCCCCAGGACCGTCACTTATACATGGGAGTGGCAAAGGGAAGTGACAGGTCACCAGATTCTCGAGGCACTCTCCAGCTCTGGTGTTTGATCTGTTTGCATAGTTCCCTTGGATCGCCAATACAGTTACGAGACAAGACACCGTATTTTTATTCGTGTTTCTGGAAAGTCACAAACCCACAAGCTATGTAATTAATGATACAATACATTTCGAAATTTTGCAACAGACTAGATCGAAGATGGACTAGCGTGTTTTAGAATAGAGTTCAAGAAAGAAGAGAAGAGAGTAGAAAGGTGAAACTGATTTCGAGCGCGCCTGTATAGACTGGACTGAGATAGAAAGGCAGCTGCTAATGTGGGCTGGCCTGTGCCGTCTTGGCAAGACAATCCGGCTTCAAATATTGGTGAGATATATGGAAGACAGCTCCCCACCTCAATCGAGATACGATAAAAGAGGGAAAACCTCGGTCACGAAACGGATGCTCACCGATCGAGATGCCCAGCTTGATGCCGAAGATGCCTCTGGACAGCCCTCGGTCTGGCGAGAGGTGTACCAAATGATGCGATGTCCTGGTCCGCCATGCCGCCACGAAGGTCAATATTGCTGGAAAGACCCCGTGGGGAAAAGACACTATAAGCTGCGAATATATTAGTTGAGGAGTCTGGTCCGATATGTGGAGAAAGGCGGGATATTAGAAACCTACGACGACATCCCGGACAGCCTCCGTGAGCAGCTCTATGCCGAGGACAACGAGCGATCTATAAAGTATAAAAGCCATTCTAATACTCTACCTGGTTCGATGTACCCTTCAATTAATATCACTGTGCTGCCTAATCAGGTATCATAACCAGTTGTAACCGGTGCGAACGGCCCAATCTCTTGCCCTTCGATCGCATCGAAAGCTATAAACTCTGACCTAGTTAAGATACCTAGTCTCCTTAGTGTGGTAGTCGAGGAGTATAGCAAGTGGTAGCAATCACGGGTGAGTAGAGACATTCTTAAGGACGATATCCGTAAAGCGCGAGACTTAGCACTCGCTAATGGCCTTAATCTCTAGTAGATCTATTATGATTAAGACCCAGATTTCTTTATTAAGTAGGGAATTAGTGTGGGAGTAGCGCGCCGGTTCCTTTCGGAGATCACCTAGTGGGCGAAATCATACGTAAGTGTTCTTTAGTTTTGAAATAGAGATATGTAGAGAATCAATATATAATACGAAGTTCTATAGAATGACTCAATATCAATAATAGTACTATATTTACTACCTACCCCCCTTTTATTGAGCTATACTAGTGATCAAAGATAACGGTGCTTTAACGAAGTTGTCTATATCACGACTTATCGATATTGACGCCTATATGCCGAAAGTGACCGTTCGCGCTTTTCTCCCTTACACCTACGTAGCTCACACACCACTCTAGGAAATTATCGGAGCCTTAGTTAGGATTATCCTTATATAATGCCTAATGCCTCCGGATAAACGCCTTAAGCTTAGCAAAAAACTCCTCTATAGGGTTTAGGTCTAGTGAGTAGGGAGGCAGGTATATTACTTTTACACCTACATCGGAACACATTTTCTCTATCCGGTCAGAATGGTGGAAAGAGGCGTTGTCTATCACTAGAACAGATTTAGGTTCCAGCCACTTTCCGCAATACCTATAGGAGCTCCTTAACGAAATCCTCGAAAACTGATCTATCGGTCGAATCTCGAAACACCCGTGACATAACGATACTATCCTAAGAGTAGGCTGGTAGTATCTAGTATCGTTGATCACGATGAAATTTAGAGAGCTAAACCGGTGCTATACCGAGCGGTGACTAACCGGTCCTCCGGAAGCCAATCCGTTTATCACACCCGGACTCGTCGATATACACTAGATGGTACGACTAGAACTCGGACAAATTATGTAGATAACAATCTCGTAGGTCGGCATTCCGTTCCCTCGCCTTCTGTCGCGAAGCCTTCTTTAACCATTTCTTAGAGATCAGCGCTCTCCTGATGCTGGAGGCGGTCACGTATGTGCCAAATTCATCCCACAGAAATAACGCCATCTCGTCGAGATAGAGTCCGGGCTTTTCCAGTAAATGATCGCAAAGAGCCTCCAGCATTAGTGGCGTGATACTACGCGGTCGGCCTGCTCGAATAGAGGGGGCTCCGGTATCACCGAACTGCCGCAGATTGCTACGGATGGTGGTGACGGAACGAGCGCTGCATTCTGCGGCATCAGCGATCTGGGCCGTAGTCAGTGATTTGCTCAAGATCATATCGCGAATGAATTCTCGGGTGGAGGAGGGTAGATTTGGAGCCATTTGTGTTGTGGGTGTTCGTCTCTTGGTGATCGGGAGGGGGGACCAAGGTGGTAAGTTGCGACAGCTGCGAATGACGTATACTCCAACGCTTCGTTGTATTGGTCTTGTCAGGTACTTTACATTTCCATTCTGACGCACAGGAATGATCTGCAGTCTAGCCATATCGAGCCTAGGTAGTTTCACTGTAGGCTTGGCGTTAGGGTTTGGGAGAGTTTCTCTGTGTAAAATGTGGAAGCCAATTTCGAATGCAGCTGTATCAAGCTGCACACTGCACACTGCGTTGTTGATGGAGCCCTGCAGCCAACACTAGACATCCTCAAGGAGACCAAGGGCGATGCACAGGCCAAGGTTGCACACTCGCCCCTGCTCCCAGAGGGTCACCCTACTCTCGACAACACGCAGATCACTTTCAACTTCCCATCTATGGACGAGACCGCGAGGAGCAAGCACATTAACGAGGTCTTCAATGGATGGCTGAAGACCGGACTGCAGTCCGGTGAAGTAATCCCCAGCCCCACTATCCAGATTGAGGATGGCGGTCTGGGCGGAATGAACGCAGCCCTGGACAAGCCCAAGGGTGGTGTTAGTGGCACTAAGATTGCTGTGCCACTCTAATGGATTGCCTTTTGCTGATGTCCCCCATGCGAACCCGAGTATATGTAGCACTTGAGAATGAACAGAAGGCGGAATCGCAGACAGACCTGTGCCCACCACATAAGAGGACCCCCTTTTGGTGTGCAAACTAGGTGGATCCTGAGGTGATTTTCCGCAATGGATGATTCGAAGCAACGACGGTAAGAGGGTTGGTGAGCATTTTACAAGGAAGAGGGTCTGTGTGGTAGAGATGTAGAGTTTCGGGAGAGAGCCCCCATGCTCTCCACCCACCATTTCAATCTTCCCTGGGCGGTGCTAATGGTGTAGGGTATCATTTCACCAGCTATCCAATAAAGTACCACGGTTTATAATACCATTATGTTCGCATTTCATCTTTCAAATGGCCGTGTTGTCGAGTTACGAAGGAAAAAGTTGCAAAGTTGGGTTTGCGCCAAGCCAGGTGATATGATGTCATATCAAGAGGGGTTCCTAATGACGAAAATCAGAAGATATACGGTAGTGGAAGATAAATGCAGAAATATATGATGATATTGGTCCGGAAAGGATCTCGTGGAGGAGAGCGAAGGAGAGAAAAGGCGAGGCTAATCCACACCTGCTGGTCTCTATAATATGCGCCTAACCCCGACTCTCTTTGGGGTCTGCAGCCTCTTGACAGGCAGACGGTGGTCTACCCGCTTGCGTTGAACACAATCTCGATAACAGACATAGCTGTTCCAAGAGGCGTGACCACTGCGTTAACAGAATAGTGCGAATCCGCTCGTTTGACCACATTGATCCAATCCTTCTCAGATCGCTCTGCGCATTCACCACCGTCATCATCTGCATGAATGGTCGAAAGACGCTCCAACCACATGGGTCCTGATTGCGTTGTCTCAGGCCCGATAAAGTCCGCGATCAGCACTCGCGCACCATGCTTGAGCGTGGGCACTAGATTACTCAGAATTAGGACGGCATATTTGTCCGACTAGTCGCGCAGAATAGAGCGCAAGAGGTAGACATCGGCGTTGTGATGCGCATTTGGCTTCAGGATATCCTGCGCTTCGAAGCTAATCCATGGCTTGAGGTTATCAGGAACGCCGTCATGGAAAGATTTCAGGCCCTCGAAATCTTGGACAACGAATTCCAGGTCGGGGAAGACCTTGGCCAATTCGATCGATACATGGCCCGCGGAGCCACCAACCTGTGCATCACGTCCGAGTCAGGAGGATCAAAATAAGAAACAAGAGGCGAAAATCACTCACATCAACCACCTTGGCCTTACCCAGTCCAGCCCAGTCAAACGCCGTGTGCAAGTGGTGGTGCGTCTGCGGGTTACCGGCAGCCCGGAACTTCATGCCTTGGGCAAATCGCCTCTGCCCGCCACCCTTTGTTCACTCCTTCCCCATCATTAGCAACGAAGTCCCAGTATGTGTGACCCTTGAGGAAGCCGAATGCACGCCCAATGGCCGAGTCGGCGGTTTCTCCTCGCTATCACCGTAATTTCGCAGTCTCCACGAGCTGAGTATCGGCTTTCCTAACCTCATCCAGGTTGAAGGAAATCCAGTCTCTGAGGACAGGGTTCCGGAGGAACGCTGCCGAGGGCCCGGTATGAGCTACATAGCCTGTACGGGCCTCACGGAAGATGCGAGAGGTCATGGCATGTCGGAGAATGCGATGCACACGATACTCTGGGATCCCCACCTTCTTAGCGATTTCGGCGTAGGACACCTCGCCATCGAGCGAGACCAATTGCGGGATATTGAAATCGACAATGACGTGCAGTGCTGCGAGATCGTGCTTGATCTATTTTTTTATTCTAAATTAGCTCCCCAATACTTCTTTGTTGCATTGGCTGTATGGGGGCATACTCCATCTGAGAATGCAGTAATGCAATCTTCGGGTCCAAGTGCCAGATCCCGAATTGCATTCGCGGATTCGATCAGGGACATGCGAGCCGCTTGGATCTTCTCAAATTCTTTTCCGTGTGGGGGCGCTGGAGGTGCATCTGGGGCAAAGGAAGGAGATGGTAGATTTGCTTCAGCCAAAAGTTTGCTTAATGTGGATGCCTGAACCTGGGCTTGGTTCGCGAGGCTTTCGAGAGTAGTCATCTTCAATGTTCAAACGTTGGGGCTGTAACAATGTTCTGTTTCTGAGTTCAAATGTTCTGATGGGGGTTTCCTAGCTCTCTTGTTTCATAGACGGTTGAGAGTTCCGAGACTCATTTAAATATTTCATGTCGCCTATTCTTCGCTATGAGAGGTGACGTTGGTTGGATATTCTGGCGCGGGAAATGTATTAGTCTAAGCCCATTAGCCATCACCTTCAATGGAGTTTTGGAGTTCCTCTGCTGCCGGAGCAAGAATAACTCCATCAAATGATAATGAGGCTGCAAATACTTTGCCTACGACATCTGATGCTTCCCAGGTTCCGTTGTGGAGCACCTTGTGGATCCATGCAGTGGGCGTATCTCAAAACTCCGTAGACCTTGAGATGGTTTCGACTTTGATGATTATCCGTACGACCTTTCCATTCCTGTCTCGGGTCGCAGAATACGTCCCACTGCCATACTTCAAGCAAGCTGCTCAATCTGGAATGAGAATGGGTGGATATGCTGCAGAATCTATCCATAGGTACAAGAAGCATGTCGAGACATGTGGTGATGGTGTGGAGCCCACCCTGTTCACCAAGCGGTAAGGAGTGAGTACTAAAACGGAAAGGGAAAGCCATCTCGCGCGGTCTAAAATCCGATGTATATGTACTCGGGACGGAGTATGAAAGTCTATCAGTGAGTTGTTAATGTTAGACTAGACATTGGAGGTAAAAGGGTAACATTGTGAACCTGGCCATTGCGTGGGCCAGACACGTGATTATATTATTACAACAGCCCTAGGTATGTCACAAGATGCATTCATCGAAGCTTACAACAAATCAACCGCCAAAAGCTGTAACGATAAGATCCCGTGGACACATACAACCGCGGATATGCAGCGCTTTAAAAAATGGCTTCAATGAAGTAGATGACGCCAAAGATAAGGAATGCCACAGCGCCGCCCAGAGTCACTATGAAAGGAAATATTAGCATGTGTCATACATAGGACAGGAAGTAGAGGATACATACCAACACGCATGCTGACCCGACCAGCGATCGCCCGTCCACCGATCACGGCGGCTGCGGTGCAGATTCCGTGACCAGCACTGGCTCCAATCGTCACCCACCAGTAGTCTTGACCAGCTGCCATGGCGATGGTGGCAATCTGGCTGCGGTCTCCCCATTCGCCGAGGAAGGTCATGACAAAGGTCTGAACCCACGCGGGACTGAGAAGAAGGGAAAAGAGGTTGCTCAATCCAGCAAAGACATCGTTCAACCGTTGCCGGGGTTGGGGGGAAGAGCCACGGGACGAGGATGAGGACAAGCTCTCCGGAGGCGAAGGCAGGCGGTTTCCGGAGGCGCGGGTCTTTGGACGACCTCCGCGACCGGCTTCGAGGTTGTGAGGAGTGACCGAGGAGCGACGGCGGTTCATGCGCAGCTGCTCGTGCTCCTTCTCTTCGAGCTCAGCCTCGACCTCTCGCATCTCTTCGCCCACACCCTCATCTGGAGACATTTCACGACCTTCCTTGAGCATCTTCACACCGAAAATCAAGAACAGAATGGCAGCCATAAATTTGGTGAATGCTTTGGGGATAAGAGTAGGAACTGCATGGCCCAGGACGGCCGAAAGAACGGTCATTAAAATCAAGGCGCTGAATGCAGCACTGAACACCACCAAGCGGGGATGTCTCATGGCCATCAGCGCAGCTACAAGGAAAGTCTTGTCGCCGATTTCTGAAACGAGAATCATGGTGAAGGAGAATACAAGGGAGTGTAGTGAGCTGCCAGCATCAGGGATACCGGAGTCATGGCCGTGGTCGTGGGTCAACGAGGACGAGGACGAGGATGAACTCGAAGACGAGCTCGAGGCGACTGAGTCGTGCCCAAGGCCTAGAGGATCATCCTTGACCACGGCCGGGGGCTTGGGGTATGGAATATCGTGTGGCTTTCCGGGGAGGTCGGCGGGTTTCTACATGCACATTAATTCCACTTGTTCAACGAAGGATCTCGCACTCGAGCAAATATATAGGAAGACTTACCCCGAGCATACCAAGACTTCCCTGCCCATCCGCAGACCGGCTTCCAGTCCCAGTTGCTGTGTCCTCGCTGTCAGGCTTCTTAGTCTCACTATGCGGTAGCGGAGGCGCCTCCTTTGGCCCTCCGGGGGCTTTTTCGGAGGTCAATTTGCTCTCCTTGCCTTTCTCAGACACACCACCCTCGGTTCCCCGTGTTCCTTCTTTCGGGCCCGCCCGATGCGGATCATCCATAACGCCGCCGTTTGAATGCGGGATCATCTTCCCTTCTTCGGTGCTCAGGTGTTCCGAAGAGGGAATCTTGGTGTCATATTTAGTAGAAACCTGGTCAATATCATCTGTTCCCTTGACACCTTTGCGGTCCCGGTCTGCATTGGTTTCCACCCACGGACCAGCGTGCGGTCTGCCATCTTTGCCATCCACGGGAACGTCCGGCGCTCCTTTGGCGACATTGGATGCCACTATATCCGAGTCGACGAGACGAGCGTTATTGCCAGCAGTCTCGCGCGAGACTCTAGAATCTATGTTGTCATTGTATGTTGTGTCGGCGAGCGCGGCCGAAATGGCGGGAAGAAGGAAGAGAAGGAAGGACGAGTAGTTGATCTTCATGATGAACGGCGGTCTCTCCCGCAGAAAGAATGAATTGGAGTTGAAATTGGCGTTTTGAATTTATAGTTGATGACCTTTCACAGCCACAAGGAGAAAAAGAGGTGATATCTAAGGTGGGTGAATTCTTCGAGCGATGCCACGGCACTAGGTCGCGTGAAAGGATCTGATCGACACCAGACAATTCTTTCAAGCGCGAAGATAAATCTCGGAATGAACGTGAAGCGGTAAGAAAGAAGTAGGAATATTAAGATGAAATATAAGTAAATGACACAAGAATTCAAAGCAAAGAAAGAGCATTCGTCTTCTTCATCTTGAATTGCCAAAGGGGGCTCTCACGTGACTGCCCGGGAACGGCCCTGTAATGGAATTCGGCTGCCTGTACGCAATTGGGCTACATACCTAGGTTATACATATCCGAATGGAGAACTGTACTCTATCCACACAATACCAGTCATGTGTTCTTACAATCGTGCCTCGTTAGTCTTTATTTGGATGTATAGATCATTTGGTTGAACAAAAGGGGGCTTGCTGGGAACTGACAAGTCAAAGGTGATAAATAGCAAAGTCTATTTGAAAGTTAAGCACCTTGTTTCCTTTTCTGCTGCCTACCCAACAGACTAAGGGGGAGAAAAAGTCTTTATCACCAGGCATCTCAAAACACTACCTGAGGAGACTACCCAAAAAAGACCACTAAAAAGATATATAAAAAGACTATCGGAGAAGACTACCTCAGAAGGCCATAAGCGGCCGACTATTCTTGTACATATTAGATTAAAAATGTGTAGTTTCGTAAGTACTAATTAAAGAAACCGACATAAAGCCCCAGACCACCACTCTAGGTATGCTAAAAAGAGTGTTACATGTTTTTTCTTTACTGTGTGGTATTCAGAGCCTTCCGAGTTGCTCACTAAGTCGAAGCTGAACGACCAAAGTCCGTTTCTAGAAGGGAGTTGGAACACCTGCGTCGACCTCGGGAGATACTACATTACTATATTAGGCAGGGTTTACCAGCTCTCCAGTCCACCCTTAGACTTTTTACTACTTCTGTTACGTATTCCTAGAGATAGATAAAAAGTCAGGTAGTAAACAAGAAGATAGAGTGTGAAATAAGTTTGTGTATCTTCATTGAAGTTCATTCCTGGCTTTTCAACGCATTGTTGTTTATCTCTGGAGATCTGCTTCTTTGCTTTACGAAGCTGGCAAGCTCGCAGTCGAAATCGTAGTGTTCCACCTATATACCCTAGGGATATAGGCTACCTAGAAACATGTCTAAATCAATCCACCACAGCTTCATTAACTACAACCACTCACTTTTTTCTTCAATTGTCATCCCTCATTTTCCTCTTCAATCTCACCACTTTCTTCCATTCTACCTTCCTCCACGCCTCCATTTCACTTCACGACCTGACAAAACTCTGTTCAACATGGGTGACGCTGATACTCCGTTCCTGTGTGATCTCGTAGGTACTGTTGCACCCTCAGCCAAGGTCAATGTATTATAGTGGTGCGTGATGACTTACCAAGATCGTCCTTAGCACTAGAGGTTGTGTGACAGTTGGTCTCACAAGAAATATTGTGGATGCTGTTGCACCATCAGCTAAGGTCCATGTGTGTTGATGGTATCCCATCCAACATTTTCGTTACCTTTTGAAACATGAGTAAGCATCGAGTGGCTCGACGAGAAGTCCATTCTCATAACACAAGAAGACATCAAGGATGGGCTTGGCCCCGCGTTCGCCGTGGCCAAATTTCTCTATCATCGCCGAAACGACTCGGGTAAGAAGCTTGCGTTTATCCGACTCTATCGTCACTTTCGGCCGGGGGAGCTTTTCGGTAGGATCAAACTGAGAGGATGACTGAGAGAACTGCTGATTCAGCTGGGGGGAGTTGGATCTATCCATAGCCGGCGTTGCAGAGGAACCCACCCCCGTCAAGGTGGCTCGATCGGTATCGATTTGCCTGTCCTTTGACAAAACGAAGAATCCTAGTGCAGAGGTCATAAAACTGCACCTCCGTCATCTCATTTGCGAGGCTCTCTGACAACTTGGCCAGTTCCATTTCCATGACCGTAATGAATTCTTCCATCGCCGGGATTTGCACCAATTCGTCGAACATAACGACAGTCGCATAGTAAGGTTGAATAGCGGCCTTTAGTTCTTTCGCTTGCTAAAGCTTTCTCTCCAGAGCTTCGACCAGTTCTGTGACCGAGAGTAGCCATTGCGTTTTGCCTGTCTGATCTCCGGGTATATAGTCCGTAAAGCACAACCCTTACCCTTTAAATACTTACGGACCTGGGCCATATAGTCATCCGCAAAGAACGCAGGCTTGCCACGGCTAAAGAAAAGTCGCTTAAGATCAGGCCTCGATACAACTTACT